CAGATGTACCTGCTCCACACCCCCCACCACCTCCCCCTCCCTCCAGTCCCCCAGCACCTCCACCTCCTTCCAGTCCTCCACCCCAATCCATTCCTGTCCCTCCATCCCCACCAGACCCTTCCCATCCAACCCCTCCACCTCCTCCTCCTCTCCCACCTCCCTTATCACCAACCTTTTCCCGTTCCATACCTCCTACTCCATTTGTCCTTCCTCCTCTTCCCTCAGTCACATCCCTTCGACCGGTGTCCTTGCGGCCCACACCACCGCCTGAGCCTGAGCCTCCCAAGAGGGAACTCAAAGGAATCCTTAAGAACATCCAGAACATAGCTGACATAGAGAAATCCATTGCCAACATGTACAGTCAAATAGATAAAAAGCAGCGCCCACCAAATATTCTCCCCAAACCACAAGTGTCTGTCGAACCAGAGGCTGGTGTGTCAGAGGCGGAGCCTGTACAAGAAATACCAGCACCAGAACCCAATCCAAACATGAACTCACTAGTAGAGGAGCTGGAGAAACACTTTCCTTCTCAGTCCACTATCATGTGACACTCTCTGTCCATGTTGCTATTACTGTCTTAGAAGCTGTTCACACAGGATGCATTCTAGCATTACAGAATTTTGCTAGAGTGCAGCAGAACCATAGACTGTAAAAAAAGATAGACCGTGCACCTCCACTCTCTTCCATTGAAGAAAAGTAAAGCCGCCAATGTCCCAATAGGGTGCGAACATATTGCGCTAATTTGGGACCAGAGACTGCGCAGTAGTGAACTCGGGACCCGAGTCTGCGCAGTAGTGAGCGAAGTGGAGCTGCATCCCGCCCACACACCCGCAGGGTTGATCGCAAGCACATGTCCCTGACCCTTTTTTAATTAGCCTGACTGCTCAAATTTGTGTCTACTGATTGCCGTACAAGAGGCTTGTGTTAAAACAGTGGTTTTCAATCCTGGTCCTGGGGACCCACCACTCTGCACATTTTGTATGTCTCTCTTATCTGACACACAGCGCAGTTCATGGATCTCTCTCCTAATGAGCTGATGATCTGAATCAGGTGTATTAAATAAGGGAGACATGCAAAATGTGCAGAGCGGTGGGTCCCCAGGACCAGGATTGAAAACCACTGTGTTAAAATAAGGTAAATACAACTAGTTTGTGCCTCAGTTCGCTCAGAGAAGCTGTCAATCTCAGCTGTCAATCATGTCACTCTCCCATTTTTATAGCATCACATAACTAAAACCAAACTTATTTAAAAAACGAACTCTTGAACTTACATCAGCGTGAAAAAAGTACATAAAATGACAAAAACCATCTTTGGGAAAAAAAATTTTGAAATGAAAGTTAATTATTTAGTTTGTCTCACGTCCCATTAGATTACATGGAGTGGGCGGGGTTTATGACCTATACAGGACCAGCCACCTGGGGGCGATCAAAACACTTCGGCTTCACTTTTTGCGGCACACTTAAGCAGAAATGACAATCGAAAAGGCATTCCTGTAGCTCAAACAGTAGAGTATGGTGCCAGTGGCACCAGCACAAGAATGTGTCCTGTTTGAACGGCCCCTTAGACTATCACTACGTTCTTGTCATCTTTTTGTCTTATCATTGTGTTTCATCTTACTGTATAACAAAATCAAATGTTTGTGCTTTTACAGTTTTTGTATTTTTAATAAGTTTTGCAAGAGTGTTATTATTTAGTTGAGTTAAACCTTCATACAGGCATTTTAATATTTTAGCACACAAAACACTTTTACTTATAGAAATTCTCCTATTCATATGCCCTAACGTCGGGCTATATGTTACTGTCACTGGATGGGATAAATGTCCTCTATAAAGCTTTTTTCTGAGGTACACTGCATGCACTCACCTCTCATTTCTCTTTCTTTCTTTTTTCTCACGTTTTCTCTTGTTAATTGTATTAGTACAGCCTTGACGCCACATTTACACTGTCTACCAGTTTTGAGCAATATCTGGCACAGGATATTCATATAAGCACAGTCGTTTATGTGAATGTAAACATATTGAATTTAAAAAAGGATGTGTGTAAAAATATCAGATCTGTGCATTAGGCCTCAAAGTGTGATCCTGTGTGACACTACATGCATCAAGAGTGCCATGTAGCTCAGATAGTCAAAACATTGCTTTGATTTTACATGAAAGAGGATTGTGAGGAAATACTTGTATTTTCAATGGAAAGTAGCAAAACACTGCACTTCAAAAAGTGTCAGTCTTCATTGTATAAAGACTGTATCACTATGATCAATTTATTTTTAAAGGGTTAGTTCACCCAAAAATGAAAATTCCGTCACAAATAGAATTCCGATGACAAATCTGAGCTTATATATATTGGTCCACCACTAGTTATAGTCCATACAAATGATGTGCTAGATTCCAAGTTTTCTGAAGCAAAATGATAGCTTTCTGTGACTGACCAAAAATTAAAGGGTTAGTTCACCAAAAATGAAAATGCTGTCATTTATTACTCACCCTCGTGTTGTTCGAAACCCGTAAGACCTTCGTTCATCTTCGGAACACTGACCCTCCCATTGACAGCAAGGTAACTACCACGTTCAAGGTCCAGAAAAGTACTAAGATGATCGACAAAGTAGTCCGTGTGACATCAGTGTACTGTAACTGTACAGTACAACTGTAAAGTTACGAAACTACGAGAATACTTTTTTTGCGCAAAGAAAACAAAAATAATGACTTTATTCCACATTTTCATCTCTACTGCGTCACTTGTGGACACGCGTTTACGACGCGAGCGTGTGTCGATCATCTTGGTACTTTTCTGGACCTTGAACGTGGTAGTTACCTTGCTGTCTATGGGAGGGTCAGAGAGCTCTCAGATTTCATCAAAAATATCTTAAATTGTGTTCCGAAGATGAACGAAGGTCTTACGGGTTTCGAACAACACGAGTGTGAGTAATTAATGACTGAATTTTCATTTTTGGGTGAACTAACCCTTTAAGTACAGCGGCTATAGTACATTGTGTCTCTCTCAGTGCAAGCATTCGCTGCAAACTGTTTGTGCTAGATGTGCAAATTGCCTTTGTTAGAAAGGACTAGAAAAGCACTGAAGAGAAACAAGTTTGTTGTAATGTTAAATGGCCCTATGGTACGTGACTGTGCACACTTTAGGAGGTTTGAGAGGCAACTGAGTCGTCAAGTTGCTTGTAATTATTGGATAAATCAATTTAGGGCGAGCGTGTTTGTGTGTGAGAGAGAGAGCTTTTCTGATTGGTGATATGTCCTCCATTTACTTATTTAAACAGAAACACGCTGCATTAGATTCAGCAAATGCCCTCCTAATCCCGGCTTTAATTGTTATGATACTTATGGATGGATTCTGCACCATTACATCCGATTATTGTTGACTTGCAGCAGTAGACAACTATATTGTTTTTGTTCTTGTGCTGTAGCACATTCAAAAGTGTCTCAGTTGTTTTAAAGTTGTTTTAAACCTCTTACCCTATTAAATGTCTGCTATAAATTCAGACCCTTAATATAGACTACATTCAAACTTTTTGTAGATCACCTCAATGTTATGTGTGCTATGTATTTTTGGTTTTGTTTTTATATGAAAGAACTTTAAGAGTGAAGACAGAAAAATCTCTCATTGATTTACAATTAATGTGCAGGATTCAAAAACCATCGTCAATATTTGCCTTTTGAATTCCGATTTGGTCTTCACACTAAATGTTGTAATTTTTCTTTTCTTTCTAATATGTATTAAACCATTTAGAACTTCTTTTGTGATGGTGATGATTTACTAAAACTAGAAAATACCTAAACGTTTTTACTTTACTATCATTCAAGCACTGTTGTTTCTTTCTAATTTTCTTTGCAGATAACTCACATCATGCCATACTTTCCCATCTTATACCATGATTTGTTTTTTTCTAATCTGTAGTGCCATGTTCCATTAGGACTAGCAGTGCCATCATGACATATTAACAGTGTTAGGGAACAAACAAGCAAACATCTTTATGGCAATCAGAGGGAGGAGGGAAGCTCTCTGTGCGTTAAAATTAGCACAGTCAAACAAGATTCATCTGTCACTAATAATGTCTGTTTAGTCAACGTTTCAAACACTGGCAAAACAGATGGCAAAGGCCAAACTGCAGTGCAGAAAAGAATGCATGTCTAAAATTAGTGCTGTCAACAAATTAATTTAGTGATGTATGTGATTATATGTAACTAATCTGCATATTGTAATTGTGATTTTTTTTTTTTGTGCAGCCCTTTTAAAATACTTTCTAACATTTTAACTACTTATAGTAAATATTAATACATTATGCATAGTTATTAAACAAACCATGAATACACAGTTTCTATATTCTAAATATGAATTTTTGAAGGGCCTCTTGACATATTAGTGATGTTTATCCTGTTATGTAGTTTATGATTCATAATCAAAATCTTTATAAAATGATGTATATTTGCGTGATGCTGAAAACAACGCCTTCGTAATACCTTTCTCTACATGCTGTCACTGGTGGTACTGGCTCCCATTACTTTTAATTAAAATAAACTCCACATAGAATAGAACGTGCCAGCTAATGCTAAATTATTTGTAATCTTTTAATTATTTTGTGTGACCTTGAAGGAATTGAGAAAGATGATCAGATAATTAATATAGCACAGCAGGTTTAATTTAGCTTTGGTAAGTTTCCTTTTTGGGGGGGGGGAATGCAGCTGTACCTTGACCTTGTTATAACTATATAACATAATTAGTATGTAATTATATACTTCAATTATAATTACATATCATGTAATATATCATATGTCATTCAAGGACTGACACATCATTACACCTGCAAACACACTCACATAGAGAGAGAAAAGTCAACAAAACAAAAGTCCCTTGAAAGTCGCATATTATCGTCAAGAGATAAATCTTCATTTGAATCCCTCATTATGCCCACATCAGGGAAGAATTGCTGTAATTTGCTCTTGCTGATCTGCTGCCTGGAGAGAATTTTAATTTGCTACGCTTTCAGTGAAATGGTCCTGCCACTTAGGAAATGCTGGCCCGTCTCCATATAAACCCTATGTACTCCTAACACACACCTGATAAAGTGTAATCAAATGTTTTTTTTAGGTTGTCTTTGCATTGTCACACATGATAATGTCTAATGTCATTAAAGGCTTGAGGGTCTTAACATTCATCGAAGTGATAAACAAACAGTGTGCCACTTGTCCTTGCAGCGAACCTGTGTCTAGATTTTCTCCTCTATGGGCATGTCATTGTCTTATTGTCTGCTTTGAATCAGTGGTGTTAGCACAGATTCATTATGCGATGAGGCCTGTGAGCTTCATTGCCATTTAGTGCCCACCACTGAACCCTAGAGTAACGTCCCCTAAACACAAATCCCATAATTAATAATAATACTCACTACCCAATATGCAAATGAGTTTGTTTCTTCATTGGAACCAATTTGGAGAAATGTAGCTTTACACCAGTGCTTACTAGTGGATCCTCTGCAGTGAATGGGTGCCGTCAGAATGACAGTCCAAACAGCAGACAAAAACATCATGGTGCAAATCCATCAAACAAATCCATAAAGACATTTTTAACCAGCTAAAATATCCAAAATATTCCTTTTTCTTGTGAAAAAGTCATCTCAACTGAATCAGGAGAGAAATATGCAAAGATCAAGCACCGTTTAAAAGCAAAAACAGTCCAAAACTGTTCTAAACAAATATATCTTGTGGATTATTGTGATGTTTTTATCAGCTGTCGGGCACCCATTCACTGCAGAGAATCCACTGGTGAGCAAGTTTTCAGGTGACATACTCACCGAAAGTTTTGTTTCAGACTACTGTATAACTGCATATTTATCCACACATACGCGCTCAGTTCTTCACAGTTCTACATAATTTATCAGAGTTTGAGGCAGCCTTGCAAAAACTTAGCGGACATTGTCCTTGAAACGCTGTCTCATCTTATGCATTAAATCTGCTAAACATTTAAAGACTTTGTCACATCTGACAGTCCAGTTTGAGATAAAGAATTAAAACACTTTCTAGATATGAAATATCAAGGTTTTATCGTAATAATCTTACTGACTTTATTTCCATACTGTTATCTCCTCACAGGAGAGGCTACGGGCATCAGGAGGTATGTATTTTTATTCTTTGGAATTGCATTGTTCGAATGATGTCTCATCTTGAGACAGTTTTATTGGCCATCATTTTTATCATTTTTATCAGTTGATGCTATTTGATAGGGACAGTGATGACAGAAGAAATAAGTATTTGTCAAGATCTCATCTGTAAAATTGCTAGATCTGTCAATTTGGAGTTTGACTTGCTGATAACATTTCTCATATATATATATATATATATAGAGGGTACGGAAAGTATTCAGACCCCCTTAAATTTTTCACTCTTTGTTATAGGGTGCTGTGTGTACATTAATGAGGAAAAAAAATTAACTTAAATGATTTTAGCAAATGGCTGCAATATAACAAAGAGTGAAAAATTTAAGGGGGTCTGAATACTTTCCGTACCCACTGTATATATATATATATATTCTCAAGAGGTTCGATTTTATGAATTCCAAAGTGTGTTTAAATAAAGCAATAAGCGAGTGGATAATATATATTATTTTATAAATTAAGAACTAGAATTAAGATTATTAATTATGAATTAAGAACTATCTGCTTTATAATAATAATGTTTATAACATCGTTTCTAAATATGTAAGCTTTAACTTTTGAATGCTTTACCATATAATTATTTAAACTCTCTAGTATTTATTTATTTATTTTTTACATTATTTATTTTTTATTATTTTTTATAATGGAAGACATTCTTGAGAACTTTGCATGTAAACAGATCAAGTGATTTCTTCCTTAAAAACTACAGTGGGGTGCTAAAGTCTGAAAACACTAGTAAAAATTATTATATTTTCAGTTTTTCTAACTGAATAGTTTTTATTTATTTTTCTTTCACACTAATTGTTTTATCAGTGTAATTTCAGCAAAAGAATGAACTAAAATGAACACAATTTATCAGAATGTCTTCTCTAAAGTAAGAAAATCTGACCTTTTGTACAAAGACGTTCTCAAATGTTTATTACATTTTTTCTAAACCCTAAAACTTGCATATTTGCATGTTTAAATTCAGATTTTCAGTTGCTGATTTTCAGGGTAATCACAGACTTGTGGATCCAACTGTAATTATTTGATATCTTCTATCATTCATTCTCACATAGATTGTGTAATATTCCTCCTTTTCTCTCTTGTTTCTGCACTGTTTCTCTGCTGAATGCTGTGCAGCAACAGCAGTTGCTTCGGCCCTCTCTCTTGAGACCAGAGGTAGAGAATCGCAACTTTTATACTCACAGAAAATTGTTTCTGTTGAGCTGAATGTGCTGTAGTATGTCATTTAATGAACATGAATATGTAGTTCTTTTCTACGCAATTAAAGTGAAATAATAAACAAATATATATAATTGTTTTGCATTCACTCACAAGAAGGGCTAATGTAGCCACGTAGCTTTACCAAATGAAGAAATACAGAAATTCCTTTTTTTTTTCTTCTTTGTAATGGGCAGCACTTTCGTCTGTCTTCCCCAAGGATTTTGCCTAAAGCAATGCGCTCTTTGAATTATAACTCTTTGCTGTGCTCACAGGAACTCTCCATGGAGTCTGGTATCGACCCAGGACAGGATTATTATACACAGGATTACTACAATTATGATCATGGGTGAGTGTGCATTCATTGGTCGAAATGTGCTGCTGGCCAAAATAAAAATTTTAAGATATGTGTCAAGCCTGCTGCATTTAATAAATCAGTTTGTACGATTTCTAGGACTTTATTTAATGTGGTTTCTAGATGAAGAATTGTGTAATTTTCTCTAAACATTGTGGGTCTCCTGATTGTGTCTTTTTGGCTGTAATGGCAATAATTATTTACTGATGCTTGTGCAAGGTGAGCTGTCCATATGGAACCCAATTAGCAGGAAACAATAGAAATAGGTGTTATAAATGAATGGCCCCCTGAGGGAGGTGATGGTAATTGCAGACTATCAAAGATATTTGAGCAGAATGCTAGCCATGTTTTTTTCTTACTGCCTTATACAGTAGGTTGTACAAATGTGATCAGTAACAGTTCCCTGCTGTATACCACATTGGTCTTCAATATATCCTTCTAATCTCAATAAATCCAAATGAAAACCTCCATGGCTACAAGCTAGTGAGGATCAATATAATCCTGAATTGTTAGCTTGTTTCCTGTTAAATGGGCTGCCTAAGCTGCATTTGGGTTCAGACAGCCTGCTGCTCCCCAAGAATACTCAAAGTCCTTAATGAAGGTCTGTTTTGACCTTTTCCATACAGTGTTATGAGGTTATGTTTCTAAATCTTACTTATTGGATTTGCCTTTTATTTTAATGTCCCAGAACTTTCATAAAGTTTTAGTTTTGATTTAGGGGACAGTTAAGGAGAAAGTTTTTGCTCATTTATTCATAAATGTTTTCCATTTGTGTGTGTGTGTGTGTGTGTACTATACCCCACAAGTATAGTAATACCAGTACATTTTTACTTTGTGGATACATTTTTTAGGTCCCCATGAGGAAACAAGCTAATAAATCATACAGAATGATTTAGTTTCCTGTGATGGCTAGGTTTAGGGGTAGGGTTAGGGTAAAGGGATAGAAATACAGTTTGTACAGTAAAAAAAATAAAACATTACACTTATGGAATGTCCCCATAATGATAGGAATACCAGTGTGTGTGCATGCGTGCATGTGCGTGTGTGTGTTTGAGGTATATGCAATAATTATGTATACCTGTCTTTTAGCTATGACTTACCTCAGTATGGGAGTCGACGGAAGCTGATCTCTCCAACAGGGATGTATGATGAATATGGAGAGGTGATTATGGAAGATGATGGCAGCTACTACTACAGCCCACACGAATCCGAGGGAGAGGTATCACATTGTATTATTTTTTTTTCTTTCTGTTTTCTTAGTTTAAACCAATACAACATGCAGTATTTTTTTAATAAGTTACATTTATCCTGCTTCTAGCTTAAGGCCCTTACACATGACTCATGTCAGGGTTTTGGTGCTTTTGGCACCTTGACCTTCACTTGAAAAGCATTGCAAATAGCAAGGTAGAAAAAAACAGAAGTGTGCACATTAAAAGTAGTGCAATCAAATGAAACATTTGAGCTTAGAACAGAAAAAAATCCTGCTGATTACTTTGCATCACTGCAGAAAGACAAAAAGGTCTTTTTTTTT